CACGAACCCTGAGCAGCTGCTTGGCCTGCCTCGCCTGGGCCTGGGGTGTGCTCTCGGCTTAGCGCCTGGTGCTCCTAGAGGCCGCCTCTTGTCCAGGCCGAGGATGGGGTACCAGGGACCCTGCTTCCCAGCATGGCCGACCTGACACAGTCTAGCCTGGTGGGTTTGGTGGAGAAGTGAATCAGCTGGAACGATGCGGAGACACTCGAGAATGCCCGGTGACAGCGTGCGGTCCCAAGGCCCTCGACATCCAGCACGGGAAGTGAGGGCCAGAGTCCCCGCACAGTGAGACCCAGGCTGCAGCTACTCCCGAGAGGAGCAGGAGGTGGGAGGGCAATGGCACCCAGAAGACGTGAGTGGGAGGGTTCTGGACGTGGGCTCCTGTGCCCGCAGTGTCATGTGCAACTGATTCGAACAAATAAAAAAAAATGAGTTTCAATGCCAAGCGGCAAGGGCTGCATTCAAGGCATAAAGTGGACACTGTTTGACTCTGACCCTCCACTGGTCTGCTGTGGTGAGTGGGCCGTGGGGGCCGACTAGGTCACTTCTGTCCTGGCCACCGCATCGCAGTGCATGGTCACTGGCGGATTAGACCATAGTCCTGCTCCCCTGCCCGGAGAGTCCTGCTGGTGGCGCCCTGCAGCGGTGACGCTGTCTGCCTCCCGTGGGTTCCGGTTCTACTCTTCTCCCAGCTGTGAGCACAGCCACCTTCTCCCCAGGGTGTCCCCAGGCAGGCTCAGAGCCCTGGGAGCCACCTGTCCTTGGGGCCTCTCCAGGGCACAAAGCCACTGTGCCCCGTGGTGGTTCGGGAACCCCCAGTCTCCCCCAGGCCCAGCCCTGCCGTGGTCTCCTGGCGTGGTCTCCTCCCGGCTTCCTCCGAGGCCCACTTCTCCTGGGAAGGCAGGAGCAGCAGTGGCCCCACACACCAGCTCGGGAGGCTCCGTGCTGGCCGCAGGCCCAGCCCTCAGCCCCTGGAAGCCCTGCTTCTCTGCTCACTGCGCCCCCTTCCTGGCGAGGCTACCCCCTCTTTCCCCAAACTCACGGTCACGTCCCTGAAGAACAGACCAAGTTGCTTTGCAGAGAGATGTGACTCTACCTAGTAGAAATGTGTGCAGATCAAAGTGCAGTCTCAGAGTTTTTCACAGAGCCCCACACGGTGGCCCACTTCTGCCATCCCAGCCACTCCGGAGCTGAGGCAGGAGGAGCACAAGTTCAAGGCCAGCCTGAGCAACTTGGTGTCACCCTGCCTCAAAACATAGCCATGGTTGGAGATGTGGCTCAGAAGTCACACACTGCCGCAGTCTGGCTGGGCACAAATCACGAGCCACTAAAGCAGGAACAAATTTTATTTTTTCTACTGCAAGAAAAAACCTCACACACGCTCCTGGGGAATCCTCCCGAAAAGCCACGAGGCTCCTCCAGGAACCCCAGCCGGAAAATATCTCTCCGGGAAAACCCTCCTCCTGCACTTAGCCAACCAATGGGAACTCCCGGGGAATCCCCGTGAGAACTAAAAATAGCGCGAGAACTCAAAATTAGCGCTAGAACTCAAAAGTAGCGGCAGAGGCGGATATTAACGCCTTGCCTGTCAATCAATACTGTTGGCAAAATGCCAGKGGCCATACAGACTCGGCTGTGGCTCTCAGCAACACACCCTGGGTTCAGTCCCTAGCATGACACACCAAAAAAATTTTAAATAAGATTTAGAAGCAAAATTTAAGAGGTCAGCGCAGCAGATGAATCACACATGACTCCATGTGACATACAGATCCAACACGTGGTCTGACATGTGATCCACACGTGACCTGGTGGGGACCTGCCTCAGTTCCCCTGGCCACTGCCACCCATGGGTGGGGGGGTCCAGTGGTGCTGAGTGGGCTGCCCACTCCCTGGCCAAGTCCTAAACAGCAGGTGCCCAGCTGCAGAGCACACCTTCCCCGAGTGCCACAGGGCTTTTCAGTGAATCAAAGTTGGAAACAGGAAGCTTAATTTTTGCTTTGGAATGGTTTCCAAACGTCAGCGTGAAGTCGATTTTTTGGTGATGGCCAGTGGGATGAAGTGGGTGGTTGGGAGAGCTGTTGTTCTCTGCCGCCATGAAGCGTGGGCAGCAGGGGCCGCGAGGCTGCGCAGGGTGCTTCCCTGTCACGACACGGCCCCGAGGTTGCCAGGCCCAGGCCCAGCGTGGGCACCCAGAGCTGGGGGCTGCCCTCTGAATGCTCACGGGGTAGGACTCGGCAGCTGGGCCTGGGGCCCGGTGGTCCTGTCAGCACCTGGTGGCTGGGAGTCTGCCCTAGTGGCCCTGGTCCACGCTGTTCCTGGGAGAGTCCTACAGGGGCCGCCTGCTGGCCTTCTGGCTGCTTCGGGTTGGGCTCTTCTACAGAAGGCCTCTGCCATTGGCCTGGCCATTGGTCCTTGTGGGTGTGACTCAGGGGCCTTTCCTCCTGAGCCGTGGGACCTCTTGGCCTCGGGTGCCCCCTCCTCTTCCTGAATCTGGGGCTAGTTCTGGAAGCCTCTGGCAGAGTGGGCAGGGAAGCCGTGGGTGGGGCTCGCCTTCCTCTCGGGAAACCTGTACTCTGCCCTCCGTGCTGCCACCCGGGGGACGGACGGGTGTCCCTGTTGCTCTCTGTTGTGACCACCTGCTGTCTCCCACCAACACTAGGTGTTGACCGCCAACGGCCCCACAGTGATCATGCCCACCTGGTTCTGCTCGCGAGCCTGGTTTTCCCACGTGGGCCCATTTGACGAGGGTGGGCAGGTGAGTGTGGAAAGCGTGGCCTGGGGCGGGGGTGAGGAGGTGGCCTTCACAAGTCTCCCATGAGCAGCGTCCACAGTCCCTGAAGGCTCCAGTTGAGAGCCCTGCGTGGAGGTGCAGGGGTGCACGGTGCCGGGGGAGCCCTGCTGCCCATCATGGCCTCCCTCTGCCTGGACACCACCCCAGACAGAAGCCTCACCTGCCACCTTCTATCTGCTCTCACACCCACCCTCCATTCGGGTCGGTTCTGATCCGAACCCCTTCCCCACTGTGTGCTGAGGGAGCATGGCTGGGCTCGGGACCCTCAGCCACCTCTGCTCCAGGCTCTGGGTCTGCTACTGTGGGGAAGCTGAGTGTCCCCAGGGCCTGCGGTCCTGTCCCCAGGCCCCTGGCCACAGCAGCCTTGGGCGTCCCAGCCACCTGGCCTTGAGGCAGGGTCTCAGGCCCTCTGCCCAGCGGGGGGTGTTCATGCCGCCCCCCCAGCTCCTGGCCTCCCTGGGCCACTGCCATGGCCCAGCCCCTGCTGCACGCGGTCAGCAGCACCCGGCTCCCGCTCAGCACACGCCTGGCCGGGCGGCCGGTCCTCTCCCCACAGGGCGTGCCGGAGGACCTGCTGTTCTTCTACCAGCACCTCAGGAAGGGGGGCAGGGTCCTCCGGGTGGACCAGACCCTGCTCCTGTACCGCTACCACCCCCAGGCGGCCACGCTCTCCGTGCTTGAGTAAGTAGATCACCTGGGGCTCCAGAAGCACCTCGTGAGGCCCAGGACAGGCACGGGCACCACTGGGCTGGGTCAGTGAGGTGGACACAGGCGGCTGGCCTCAGGGCTCTTCCCCAAGATTCACCTGATAGGAAGGGAGTCCCCACAAAGTGGTGTGTGGGGCACAGAGGGCCAGGTGGCCAGGAAAGCCCTGCAGGGGTCTCGGGGCCTCTCCAGGGCCTGGGGGGCCCCCAGAGAAGCCCAGTGCCCCTCTGCTCTACAGAGGTGGGTGACCTCTGAAGACCTGCTGGCCACCAGGCCTAAGTGGCCCCGTAAGGAGAGCCACGGGGCAAAGTCACAGGCTTCGGTCTCAAAGGGCTGGGTGGTGGCTGTCCTGTGGACTCCTCTGCCCCTGCCTGCCTTGGAAGCAGGGCACCACGGGCGGGGGCTCATGGCCTGGCTCCGTGGCTGGGCAGGTCTGGAGAGGGCTCCCCGCAGTTCCTAGGGAACTGTCACGAGGACACGTGCTCCTAGTGCCACCAGAGGCCCCATGTCCTATGCCACCTGGGGAGGGTCTCCACACGAGGTTTTGACCAGACATAGACTTGGGTCTACAGCAACCACACAGAACCCAGTTAGCAATCACCGTGACTTCGTGAAAACCCAAGATATCTGGGAATTAGGCCGCCAAGGAAAAAAATCAAAAGGAAATTGGAAAAAACTAAAAGCAGTGAGTCCTGCACACAGCGCCACCTTGGCCTCAAAGGCTGATTCACGAAGGAGGAAAGTGAGCTGCATACCCCTGGACAGGGAGTCACCGAGGGACTGCACAAAGCCCCCAGCAAGTGGAGCAGGAACCCAGAGCAGGTCAGCACAACCGAGGGTCACCATTGGAAATAGAACCAGCAAGACCACCTGTGGCCAGGTCTGAGCCCTCACCTGCTGAGCTGCGGGCAGCCCAGGCTATTTGGCCCGGCTACCACCTCAGCCTGCAGGGCGGGGCAGTCAGAGGACAGAGGCCAGGTGAGCACGTGGGTAGGACTAGCACCCCCGGGGTCGTCAGGACCAGGGCTTCAGGAGGCAGGCCAGCCCCCGTCTGCCCAGACTGGTGGACAGTGAGGCTGTGCCGTGCACGGGGCTCAGATGGCACGCGAAGCCCATACCCCTCTGCACCGAGAAGGGAGCGGCCAGCGCAGGCACCTGGGGAGGGCTTGGAGCGACGGGGCCGGCAGATGTGAGCCCACCACTCCTGGGCACCAGGCAGGTTCTGAACTTCATGTGGAAATGCACAGGACCCAGAAGGGCTGACCAAGTCTCGAGAAGAACAGCCAGGGCTCCTGGCGAAGCTGCAGCAGTCAGCAAGGTGCAGGGCAAGCACAGGTGGGCCTGGCCACCACGAGGAGGCACCCAGCCCCCACACGGGGGTCTGCTCACGGGGCGCGGGTTTCCCTGTGAGGGAGGAACCCACCCCCGGGATCTCAGGCAATCGAGACAGTGCTGGGGAGCTGCAGACCTCCGCCACAAGACGGCAGGGCGGCTGACTGTCTGAGAACGGGCAAGCTGGACACCGTCACAATCAAAGTCACTCTTGGTCACACAGACACGAGAAGCTGATGTGCCATCAGTGCAGAGCAGGTGCCCAGTGCACAGAGACCCTCAGCGCCACCCCTAGGCGTGCAAGCCTGCACAGCTACGGACCCAGCTTATTGGGAGGCACAGGTGGGACGGTCACTTGAGTCCAGAAGTTCCAGACCAGCCTGCGCAGCACAGTGAGTCATGTCTCTTCAAGATGGAAAAGTACAAGACACCACTAAGAAAATGAATGGGCACACTAAAGCTTGCAGGGAGACCCCCAGTCCGCGTACCCAGCAGAGAACCCCAGCCAAGTCTGCGGTAGACACGGCAGCCCACAGGCACAATCCGAGTGGTCACGGCCTCAGACCACATGCACTGCTGGGTGGGCTGTGGACAGGCTGGAGTTGGCACCTGCCACCCCAAGCATTGGCCAGGACACTCAGCAGTAAGGAGGCGTGTCCTCTCTGGAGAGCTGCTGGATGCTATATGACTGACCACGTTGGCGCCTTCCTGTGGTGGGCCCACCTGGAGATGTGGACACTCCCCAGCACATTGCTGTCAACACTTGAACTGGGATGCGGCTGGGGGTGGAGTGCCTGCCTCCTTTACCAGGCCCTGGGGTCCCTCACTGCAAAAGAAAAAAAGCCAAGAACACTTTGGGACTGTCCCTACGTGTGCCTTCGGCTGATGGCAGGGCCTGCTGAGACGGTGTGCTGCTTAGCAACAAACAGGCTGTGACGGGGTGGCTGGGGAGACGCCGGGCACCAGCAGACCTCCTGGGCCTACCCACCCTCGGGCAAAAAAAGGGGCAGGGCTACAGTCCCTCTCGGTGGCTGGGAATGTGCACACGTGATGCTCAAAAACCACACGCTGTCCACCCGAGAGCAGCTGCTCCAGCAAAGAGCCCTCCCGTCCACTCAGGAGCCAATCTGAGTGGAGAACGTGCCTTCCACAGCACAGGGGGTCGCCAGGGCGGTTCTGAGCACTCCCGTGTGACCACTCGGTCACACGTGGCCCACAGCCAGGGGCGGTGGTGCTGCCTTGGAGGTGGGTCTGTGAGGCCCCCCATGCCCGGCCACAGGCGCCATCAGGCAGGGCTGCCCAGGCCTCCTCCTGTGCCCATGGCAAGGCCTTTGTGTGCAAGACTTGGTTTTTGCCACGTAAGGCTTGGCCACCCACAACACAAAATAAGTGACCTAATGCAGGTTTCTGTGTGGGATTAAGGTCTGAGCAGCAGCTCCTGGGGCACGGGTTTAATTATTACCTGGGCTTGCCGGAGAGTCGGCTCCGCAAAGCTTCCTGGGCCCTCCCTGCATCATACTAGGAACAGTCTCCACAGACGCCACTCAGCATCCACCACCAGCAGGAGTCGTGGTCAGGAGTAAAGTGTGTGCTGACTCGGGAGCCAGTGCTGCCCTGAGCCGATGCGCATCCTCGTGGGTCTCTCCTGTGGGCCCCGGCATTGAGATGGGCCAGACCTCATCATGGTGCCTGGGAGCTAGCTCAGGCCTGCCCCACGCCCTCCTCGATCGCATGATGCTGGGCATGGACCTGCCCGACTGTTGGTGTCCAGCCTCCAGAGCTGGACACGTTTCTTTGTATTATGCTACTGCTGCATACACAGACCAGGGAAGCCCAAGGCCTGGGGTCCTGTCACCTGTGTCCTCTGTGGGGGCTCACCTATGCTTGCTGGTGCATATGGTGCTGACAGGTCACCCCCTCCCCTGAGGCGGCTGCCGTGAGTGAGCCGTGTCTTAACAGCAGAGGCGGCACAGCCTCCTCACCTTTGTCACCTGCCAGTCACCACGTGCCTGGTAGCCTCGAGCCAGGCAGTCGCAGGCCCTCTGGCTCCCATCTTGTGGGTGTTAAGATGTGATGCACACGTCGCCCTTTACGTGCGTGAACGTCGGGGTGTGTGTTCTGCAAAGGCTGAGAGAAGGCCGAGGAGGCCACAGGGTGAGGGGGCTGCACTGGGAGCCAGGCCAGAGAGCACGTGGCCAAGGAGGGCAGGAGCCCAGAGCGGATGAGGAGCAGCCCAGGATCTGATGGGGGTGAGAGCCGACAGCAGGGAAGTGGCCCGAGGGCCAGGGCAGGGTGTGACCGCAGACAGCTGTCCTGAGGTGGCCCTGAGCGCCAGTGTGGTGTGTGGCCCCAAGGTGCTCGGGGGCCGGGGGGTGGGGAGACGTGGCTGAGGTGCAGCCTCAGCCTGGCGGCCCGGTCTGCGCGTCCAGGGAGGGACTCTGGTTCAGGCGGGAAACCCCAGATTCCTGCTCTCTGGGCGAGTGGCCCAAGGCACAGGTGGCTTCCAGGTGTGGCCACAGTCTCCTTCTCACAGCGGCTTTTCCGGGAATGGGCTCAGGTCGGGGGTCCACTGTCCTGAAGCTCCTGAAGCCACCCCAGGGGTGGGCTGAGCTACCCCGAGGCCAGGCCGGCCTGGGTGGCCCCTGGCCTTCCATCGGGCGGTGACCGAGGTGGCTCCCAGGGCCTCTGGCTGTGGGAGGTGGGCAGGCCAGGAGGTGCTCATCCCCAGGGCACCCAGCCCGCCCTGGCCACCCCTGCTTCCCAGGACCACCATCTGGACCCACCGTGTCTGCTTCCTGGAGGAGTGGGCCCTGCCCCAGTGGGCGTCCTTCACCATCTGGAACGCGGGCAAGCAGGGACGCAGACTGTACCGCAGCCTCACGGCTGCCAGCCGCTGCAAGGTGGGCGCTGCCTCCCCAGCCCCTTGTCCCCAGCCCCGGCCCCTCCCGGCTCTGCCTGAGCCACCCAGAACGCTCATCCCCAGGTGGTGGCCTTCTGCGACGTGGACGAGAACAAGATCAGGAAAGGGTTCTACTGCTACGAGGAGGCTCAGGTGTGTGGGCTGGTGGCAGGCCGGGGCAGCCCAGTCCACCCTGGGCCCTCCTCCGGGGACTCCACTGGGCCCCCAGCCTGTGTCCTGCCCCAGGGCCCGAGGTGCACATCGGTCAGCTGAGCCAGCCATGGCTCTGGGCAGAGGGCCATGGCTGGCACAGGCTGCAGGGGCCCTTCCCTTGAGTGACCAGCGTGACTGTGGTCTCCTTCCAGGAAAGGCCCAAGCCGCGTGTTCCTGTCCTGCACTTCAGAGCTGCCCGGCCACCCTTCGTCCTCTGTGTGAAGCTGGTGAGTGCTGGGCGGAGGCTGCGGTCACTACCCTGGGGCTGGGGACAGCTCTAGGGGGCCGTCTGAGGAGCCGCCAGTCCCTGCTGGGTGCCACCCTGGCCCTCGAGCCCACAGAGCTGCTGTGCTGCCCCGTCCCTGCAGCGAGCCAGGGCTCCGGCCATCTGGGCCTCTGTGGTGTGGGCACAGGGTGTGCTCTGCTCTTGGGTCCAAGGTCGACTCAGCAGAGCTGAGCATGGCCCACACCTGTCGAGGACACGGGCTCACTTCCTGGCCCAGGCAGGTCCCCCTGCCGTGCCACAGTGGTATCAGCTTCCTGCTGGGCCGAGACAGGCCACTGGGACACTAACGTGTGGCAGGCCCCCGTCCCACTGCTCCAAGTCTTCCCAGTGTCCGGCGCAGGAAGTCCTCTCCCATGCACAACTGCACAGTCACGGTCATCCCCGCAGAGCGTGCCTCGCGGCAGGCGGAGGCCCATCAGGTTGCTGCTGCCCGCCCTCTCGGTGTTGGCGGAGGCCGAGCCAGGGAGCCCGTGCCTGGCGCCTTGCAGACTGTAGTGTCCTTCCTGAGCCACGTCTGCTTGCCACTGGCCTCAGACCAACAGCTGGACGCTCCGGGTCCCCCCCACTGGTCTGCGCCAGTGGCTGCACCCCCTGTTCCTCCCAGGCCGTGGTGTGGCTTTCTGGGTGACACCAGTGGTGGCAGGCAGAGGGCCCGCAGGCCAGACACAGGCAGCTTGGGGAAGGCTCTGAAACCAGGCTGGGCCTTGGTCCCTGGCTCACTGCAGGTCACCAGGCCCTCTGCACCAGGCCGAGGACAGGAGCAGGTTCTCCAGCAAGCTGCCCTGTGGGGGCTCCCCTGCCTGAGATGGGAGGCATCAAGGGGGGACCCGGGGTCGTGGCCCCTGCCCTGTTGTTGGGATGGGCTGGGGCAGAGGAGATCAGCAGGAAGGGCTCGGGGGGTGACGCTCCTGGGATGGGGGTCACGTGGGAAGGCAGGTCTGGATGACTAGGGCAGGGAGGACACCCGTCAGCTGAGTCCCCTGGGGGGCAACTATCCAGAGGGGCCAAGGCCAGACCAGATGGCAAGGACACCCCAGAGAATCTCACCCTAATGGTGATGGGCAAGACCAGCACACTGCAGAGCCGTGGTTCCCTCCCTGGCCCTTGGTTCCCTTGAGCCCCACCCGTTAGCAGAGGAGCAGAAGTTCACAGTGGACCACCTGTCAGGCAGGTCCAGGCAACACAGACCCAGTGGGTGGGTCTGTAAGAAGCAGGGGGAGGCCTGACCAAGCCACACCTGCTGCTCCCCCACAGGACCTCACCGGGGGTGAGTTTGAAGAGAACCTCCGGTCGCTGCGGCTGCAGGAGGGCCGGGACTTTGTGTATTTCAGCTGACGGCCGTGGCCGCTGCCCTGGTGTGGTCTGAGCGGAGCGCCACTCAGGCTCCAGGACCAAATCATGGCCTCCTTGGCACGTCCCCTCATTGCCCCTGGCTGCTGATGGCCAGCCTGCCTTCTGATGGACTCCAGGCCTCAGGCCCTCAGGGACACCGTCCAGCACTTGGCTGATGTGTGTCGGGCGTCACTGACCTCTCCGTCGTCCCTGCGCCATCCTGCGTCTGAGGCCAGAGCCCTCGCACAGCCTGGGTTCTGGCACGTCCACCAGGCCAGCCTCTGCTCACTCCCATGCTGCCACCAGCTCATCCTCACCTTCACTGCAGCCTTGCACTCCAGGACACAAGTGGACGCTGGGCTGTGGCCATCAGGGGTACAGGTCAGCAGCACTGGCCTGGCTCTCTGTGGACTCAGGGTGCCCCCCGGGGCTCTGCCTGCCTCTCCTGCACCCTCAGGCAGGCCTGGGCTCCCACCAGCATGTCACCACCCCTGCCTTCCCGGTGCTGGTGCAGAGTGTCCTGTGCCTGCTCCCTCCGCTGCAGCACACTGGCCACCTCCCCGCGGCCTCACCTGGCAGCCAGCCTGGCGCTCCGCTGCTGTGCGTCCACACTGGCCCAGTGCTCACTCACACTGCGCCCCACGTCGGCACAGGGTGCTCTGTGCACCTGAGATGACGCCGGTGCCTTGAGCTGACCTGCAGCTGGGGGCAGGTACCAGGAGGCAGAGCCGTGTCACCAGGGGCCTCCAGCACACTGCTGAGGTGGGAGACAGGGTTCAAGTGGGCAGGCAGGAAGCTGGGCCCCCCAGGGCACGTCTGTGCAGCAGGGCTGGAAACCAGACCTGGGCCAGGCCCCACCAAGCTCAGGCCGACCCCCGTGAGTCAAAAGGGGGATGGAGGCCTGACTGGACCAGAGAGCGCGTGCAGGCAGGTGGACACGGAGTGCCTTAGCAGGGCTGGGCTGGGGGCCAGCTCCCCTGACCCTGAAGTCGCACACACACCCCTGGCCCACGGCACTCTCCAGGAGCCCTCTCTACAGACCTGCCCTGTAGGAGCCCTGGTCTCTCCGTGTGGCTCTAATAAACCCTGTTACTTTGCCCTCGCCTGAGTCTGTGGATTTCATTCTTCAAAAACCACCTCCCCTGGCGTAGCTGCACAGCCCTCCTGTCTCCTTGAACAAGCCGCACTGTGCCCACGGCTTGCTGCAGACCCCGGTTCCACAGGTGTCACTGCTCAGACCCGGGTGGCCTCGTGGTCTCCCCACAGCGTCTCAGCTCCATGCACCACATCTGACTCCACCCCTCGGAGGATGAAACCCTGCATTGCCTCCTGAGACCCCATCACACGGGTGGACACACATCCCAGGCCCAGCTGGGCAGGCCTCCCAGCTGCATCCAACTGGTTGCTGGACCTGCCTGAGAGTGCCGGCCTTCACTTCTCAGAGCCCTTCCTGAGGCCCGTCTCCATCGCTGGCCTCGATCCCTGCCTTGCTTCTCCAGCGTGCCCGCTCAGCCTCGGCCTGGCAGCCGCACCAGGCTTCTGTCTCTAGTCTCCTGCCCACCCTCCTCTGTGGCACTGGGCCTGCTTGAGGTCTGCAGGCACCCTCTGCCCCAGGAGCATGCTCAGGAGGGTTCGGCCGGCTTCCCAGTCCAGCGTGGAGCTCGGGGTGGGCAGGGCCCCAGGGAGGGTGCACCCTGCACCACACAGCAGCAGCACATGCAGGCACTGCTGCTCCTCTGAAGACCCCGCTGTGACCACTACAGCTGAGGACGGGGCTTGTCTGGCCCAGGGCCTCAAATCCGTCCCCTCACCTGTCAAAACCAAACCTCACAGTGGACACCTTGGCAGGAGCCCTGGCATCCAGTTGCTCTCTGGCTGGAACAGGGGGTGCCGCTGGCCCCGCCCTCCTGCCCATCGTGCTGGCTCTGGCTGCTCTTTGGACTCAGGCACGTGCTCCTCTCTGCACTGGACATGTCCATGTGGACTCCTGCTCACATATGCCCTGTGGAGAGGCCCTCCTGAGCCCCTTCCCTGAGACACCAGCATGCTGCCCACTGCCCACTCCACTGGCCACATGGCTGTCATGAGGATGACAGGAGGGTGTCCTGGACCCAGGAAGGCTCCAGAAACTGCTGCTGCACAGGGGAGGGGACCCCAGGCCTCTGGTGAGGATAAGTGCCTGGGCCTTGGGGTCTGGGACAGCAGGGCTGGCTGCCCGGGGTGATGGCCTTTCCTTGGGTGGCAGAGTCAGACTAGAAGGAACTGCTATGTCTTTGATGGGTCCAAGGGCAAGTGACTGTCTCTGGGCTTCAGTGTGTCACTGTCCCCTTGGGCGGTGTGCTCTGGCGGGATGGCAGGGCCTTACGGATGCAGCTGGGCCTGGTCATAGGGCCCTCCTGGGACCTTGACTGGCCTTGTCCAGGACAGAAATCCCTAGAGCAGGAGGGAGGCAGCTGTCAGGTGGGGAAGGAGTAAAAGCCAGGGCCCAGCGGGCAGCAGGTGGCCCACTGGCTAGAGCATAAGGACATGGAGCTCCCCACCCACAGGTCCGGTGGCAAACAGCAACACCAACAAAGGTGGCCTGGTGCAACTGGGCTCCTGGAGGCCTCAACCCTGACGTAGAGTGCCTCCAACACTGCGCCCACCACCCCCATCCAGACTCAGCCTCCTGCTCCCTGCAGTGTTGGCCCCACTCGCCAGCCACTTGCACCAGAGCATCTGAGCACAGAAACCTCTGGGGTGCAGCCACAGCCCCCGTCTCCAGAGTGCACGGAGCCTCTGGGGTGCAGCCACAGCC